GCGGCATATCCTAGAATCTCCTTAGATGCTCATTCTGAAGTACAGAGGTACAGAGGTATAATATCTGTTGTTGTTAACCTTTAATTCCTGCCCATTTAAATCTGCTCTGTGTCATTTTAGAAGGATATATTAATATTTGAGAACACTGTATCAGCTCTTAATGCTAAGGGCAGAAAACTCAGTCATTGAATTTTTCTTCCCAGGACAAAATCAGAAGATTCAGCAATTGTCATATTAGAAAGATAAGAAATGCACCAAAAAATTACTGTATCTTGCTTCTATGTCATTTGAAAAAGGTATTTGTAACTACTATGAGGAATTCAAAATGACTATTATGTGTTTTTAAATGATTCAGTTTATATTAAGGTTCTAATTAATATTGAGATGGTCAGAGATTGTACCTTTCTCTCATTCAGAGGTATGAATTCTCAGGACATTTCATATTATTAATTTTGTGACATACTTGAATTCTTCCCAAATAAGAAGAAAATGACAAAACAGCTCAAGAAGTAATGGTGAGACTTCATGTGTCACTGTTTGACCAGGTAAAGATAGCGGGTACATTGAAGAAGGCCCCTCGCTTTAAAACAGTGCAGACGCAACTTAGTGCACCTCGTTTATCTTGGATACACATTTAATGCAGAGAATTAAATATCTATGAATGTCTTTAAGTCATTAAACACCAAACAGAGGTTTAAAATATGTTATGTTTCAAAGGGAAGTTTTTCCTCACTAAGCTGCAAGAAGCTCCTAAGCCTGGAAGTCATTAAGCAAAGTGTTGTTACTGTTGGGCCTCGTGAGGCCTGGGCAAGAGGCCCAGTATAACTTTCCAAGTCTAACTTGAATTTGGTGAGGCCTAGTGTAACTTTCGGAGCCTAGCTCAAGTTTGGAGACCTGTCTCTGGCTACCCGACCTAGGTCGGCCCCTGCCCAGCCACTGATAATGTAGCAGAATAATATTGGCCCTTGTTCCTTGCTCCGCCTTGGCCCATCCCAGGCTTCTCCACCACATCACAACCCTATATAAGTCCCTGCTTAATATCATTAAATGAGATCCTGCTTTGACAGACTCCTGACTAAGTGATTGTGTTTCTCCCCAGTACCCAGGGCTCAGGGCTGAGTGGTGACACTCACCATCCTGTTCAGCCCCAGGGAGAGTCCAGTGGTTCCGCTTCTGCCCCTGCTCTTTCTGCTAGAAAACCCGGCAGATTGGTGCCCGGTGTGAGTTACCATTCTGCACAGAACCTGGCAGTTGTGCTTCTTCATAAAATTAATGAACCTCGTGCCTGAGAATCTGAGACTGTCTGAACAACTCACTTCTTACCTCTTCTTTCAAGGGTTTAAACAATATAACCAGGATCTCTCTCTCTTTCTTCATTCTTGAAGTAAATCATCTTACTCATCACCTTAATTTATGCCCTTGAGGTATCTGTTGTTTGTGTAAATATTTAGGAATTTATTTGTGGATATGTTAAAATTAATTAAATGAATACTAATGACTACTAAAATAATGTATAATTCTGGTCTTGGGTATTCATGAATAGATAGCATAGCTCTTTCCTTTGGCTGGCTTAAATCTCTCAGAAGGTATAGCATGTGTTCTGAAATGAATGTAATCTTACAAGGAAGCCACACAGAGGAGGAATTATTCAAGGGGTTCAAAAGAGGATGAAATTAGCAATCTGCTGATCAGTACTTAATTTCTACTCATCTCTTAGCCTTGCCCACAAGAATCAATGAAAAGTGATTACTTTAGAGGAAGAAGATGTACACCTCAAGTCTGAGTAAATGAGATATTGTTTGTCAAGCAACCTCTGAGTAATTCTTGACTTCAGGCACTTCTCTGTCTCTAGGTATTGAAACCCAGATGGCTTCCTGTGCCTTCTTTCAGAAATCAGCTTCCTCCCCTGTGCAGTGGGGGAGGTGACCTGCGCAGTGGAAGGGGTGACCAAGAGAATTCATTCTAACACCTACCTTAGGCTTTCTGCATCGATGTACAGAACTTTAAATACTGCCAGGATCTTCCCAAGGTTATTATGGGAGGCTAGGTTTAAAATCTACAAAAGTTATTTTTATACATTTCTGAGGATTTCAAAAGGAAATTATAAGGCAAAATAAATCTTTAGAAACTTGATGGCTAGGACTTTTTCTTAGGTTGCCAGAGACCTAAGTATTGAACTTCTCTAAGATCTAAGTATCAGGTCTATGAGCTAAGTATTTGACCTTTCTAAGATCTAAGTGTTGGGTAGTTGAACTAGGCTTCCCTAAGTTCTCATTGATTCTATCTTTATGTGATTCTTGCTGATGATTTACACCTGTGAAGGTGCTAGGAATACCTGTGCTCCTCATGACTATCACTGCTTCCCACTGCATCAGCCTGAGGGCTCTGTCTCTGCACTGCTTCTGGGACCCTCAGGTCGAGCACAGGTGTGGCTGCAATAGAAGTTGAGAGAGCGGTCTCTGTCTTTTCACTCTCTGGCTCAAGGTGGATGGGTTTTTCCATGCTACATTTTCTTTTGACTAATTGCACTAATGGAAACAGTAAATACACGTAGTAGTAATCTATAACATACTGATGGCAAACACTTGCCAAAGCAAATACTTATTTTCTGAAAGGTAAAACCCAAACACATATTGAGAAAGATGACATCTCTTTAACAAGCAAATCCCATTCCCTTCCTATAGAATCAGCTTTTCTTTGATCATAAATTATATCAAACGTAGGGAATTGAAATAGACTATGATGCCTTTTGTTGGTAATTTGGGCTGAGAATATCTGGTAATTTTTTTCTAGGCCTCACCCCATTTCTACTGTCATCTGGTACTTTAAGAGAGGTAGAGGTCAAATTGGTTTTACTCACATGTCTTCAGGTTAACTTATTGTTATCTAGGGGATAGGACTGGGCTACATGCCTTTCATCACCGAGAACACCTATCTCTATCATCCAGAACATGTGTTTGCATGGCTGTACACATTTCTCAGCAAGCTAGCACTTTTTTTGCAGTTTATCTACTTGGCAGCTAACAGTCCCCAGAACATAAAGAAGGCAAGAAAGGCTCTAAGCACAAAACATTTTCAGGTCTATTGTGGTGTCCCATTAACTAAAATACCACTCAGTAGTGAGAAGGACATCACCAACTCAGTTTTAAGGGGTAGGTTCTTCTATGGATTAAAGGATCTAAATCAGAAATTCTCCACTTGTGGGTTGTGACTCCTTTGGAGAGGTCAAATGACCCTTTCACAAAGGTCAAATATCATATATTTACATTATGATTCATAACAGTTGCAAAAATACAGTTATGAAATAACAATGAAAATAGTGTTATGGTTGGGAGTCACCACAACATGAGGAACTGTATAAAAGTCACAGCGTTAGGAAGGGTGAGAACCACTGTTGAAAGAGGTTTCTGTCCCACCAGCTCCCACAGTTGCTCAGTTCCAAAGAAATACACAGAGCTCTACATTAATTACAAACTGATTGACCTAGTAGCTCAGGCTTCTTATTAACTTTTATCATTTATATTAGCCCATAATTCTTTTCTATGTTAGCTAAGTGACTTAGTACCTTTTTCGGTGGGGCAGTCACATCTTGCTTGCTCTGTGTCTGGGTGATGACTGCAGACTGATTTTTTTTCTCATTTCCAGAATTCTCCTGTTCTCCTTGCCCTGCCTCTATTCATGACTGGTCACCCCATCTATACTTCCTGCCTGACTACTGGCCAATCAGCATTTATTTAAAATACAAGTGACGGGGTACAGACCATTGTCCCACGGCAAACCCCTGCTCTAAATGATCTACAAAATTATTGACAAAGCTGTGGGTGTAGGGAGGGGATGAGTTTGTGACCATTAAAAATTCAGGAAGACCCAGTGCTGCACAGAGTAGAAATTGTTTTGTTTTGCTTTTTTTCTGCTTAGAGATTACCAGAATAAGAAAACAAATGCATTATAATTTAATGGCTAGCCCTTTTTCTAGTTCTGGAAAAAGCCCCAATAGATAGTTTGTTACTTCTCCAAAATTTTCCTTTCAATGAAGGACAGGGAATGAAATTAGGGACAGAAGGGTGACAAACTTGTTTCCAGCCACTTATGCTGACAGAACCAAAGCGGTAGAAATGTTAAGACCAGACAGTGGGAGTGTGTCAGGCTGCACATGGGATGGTTATGTTCATAATCACCTGAGTTAACACTGCAGAGTTGAAGTCATTCAGTAGAAAAGAGTAACTCAGTCTGATAGTGACTCTCTTCTGTCATTTAAAAAATATTTAGGTAAACTACAGACTACATATGTAGAACCCAAACCATCAGTTAACACAGAAAGTTTACACAATTTGAGAGTCTCGGAATGCTTGCATAAGAACTTCCCGCCTAAAACATTTTTTAAAAAGGTAAATGCATGCCTAGAGGGTGAGGATCCAAGAAAAAAAAAACCACATAGATTAAAATGCAAACTTGAAAGCATAGAATCCAGTTCTTTGAGGTGTTTATGAAGGATGTAGAGGAAACTAGAGTCCTGGAAGTTGTGAGGTCATAGGAGCTACGGGGGAGTTCTGAGAAAGGAGACAGTAAGCTTCTCACTTCTGCCTGTGGACTCTCATGTCTCTACATTTGCCATTTAGCTTTTATCTTTTAAAAAGAGTTTGTGACAAATACAGGAGTTAAAAATATGTTGCCAAATTGTGCCAGAACATGTAAGCTTCACTAATGAAGCCACACTTTTTTTTTAAAAAAAAAATTAAGGTTTTATTTAGAGGAAATTAGGATTTACTGCTTTGAGTTATTTATTTTGAAAATGAAAAATCTATAAGACATACAATAATGATAGACATATAAATATGTCAAACCAAAAGAGCGCTATTAGATAACCCCCCCTTTTTTTGTCAAAGTCAAAAGATACTATTAGGATATGTGTGTGTGTGTGTTTGTGTGAATGAGCAAAATGAGACTGTGTCCAATACTTTTGTAGTTTATAATTTGCTGATGTCCACATAAATAGAGTTGGTTCAAAGGTGAAGTAGGAAGCAATAAATGGACAGGAACTAACATGTTTTATGGAGCTTTTAGTTGGAAGGTTCAATCCTATAGGCACATCTGGACCACCTGTGTGCAGAACAAACAGCCAGCTTTCTGAAGGAAAGGTTCGTAGAGGAGATGGAATTTCACGATTTCTTTCTGTGAAAGACAGAGCAAGGTTTGGTTCTGACAGAAACTCTGGGGTCTTCTTTCTTCTGATATTGTGGAGAGCAGACTCATCTACGCTCAGGCTTTCTAGTGTCTACACATTGGCATTAAGTTGAAAATGAGTAAGTAGTAGTGCAGTTGGAAAACACAGAGTCACGGCTAAAACCGAGACTGCCGTGCTGTTTCTTTCTTCTGCAGTTGCCTTCCACACAGCTGCAGGACACAGATATATGCCTTTCCAACTGTGTGAGTATCAGAGGGTCCTTTACAGAAAACTGGCCAGACCACCCTGCTGCTCAGGGAGTCTGTCTTTGAGGATTTGGTTTCCCTACACATCTGTAGGCAGTTCTTGCTTTTTATCTTCTCAGCTAAATTAGTTCCTACATGTTAAAAAGGGGGGGGGGGGGGGGAGGAGGAAGTGGTGAACCACCCCCACGGAAGACTTTATTTGGCTTTTAAATATGGGTTTGTTACGATCCTGTTGTGGTTATTATCGGAGACAATCTTAGCACATTGAGCTATGTGTTTTTCAGAGGAAGTGCTTAAAGGCGAATTCTGCAAGACTTGAAGGTTGTACTTAAGCCCTATGCATTGTTGTTAAAGGTCAGGGTACGTTTTTTTTTGTGATGAACTGTGAGAGAATTCTTGGGGAATCCAAGTGTCAGGGAATAATAATATAATCAGTGCATGTATGCCCACACTTCCTTGTTCCTACAACTTAACTATCCAATCATCACTGAATGTTTTCTATGCTCCATTTCTTCAACGGAATTCTTGTTAGAAACTACTGAAGGGCTTTCGCAGTTATCAGTGGGTACAAACAATAGCACAGTGTTGTCATAGTGCAAGGGGACTGATAAGTGTCTTCCTACTCCTCCCTAAGTGACAGATTCTGGGGCTTATATTTCCAACACACCAAATTCTTCAGTAAAATAAATATTAGTTTGTCCAGGCCATGCATTATTGGAGTAAACTTATCTCTTAATGTTATATTTTAATTTGAGATCCCACACTGTTTTGAAAAGTCTAAATAGGTCTATTGGTGTTTTGACCATGAGAATGATTTTAGTTGATTGAATTGAAAATTTCCATAATTTGGCTGCAATGATTATTTTTCATTTTAGATTGTTTTTGTTTGTTAGTTTCTAACCCTTACTTTTCATTTTAAATTGTTTTGGTTAGTTTCTCTTCAAAGGACCAGATTTTTTTTTTTAACCAAGTAAAAAAAATCAAGTCATTTAACAACATGACTTCTTTAGCTCCCAGAACTGAGGTAATGTTCTGCTAGGTTGTGGAGAATATTGTAGCCACAAAGCTTATTGTTTTAAAAAAAACTACTGATATTAATATTTCCTAAAATGTCAAATTCAAGAGAGTGAAAGAAAGTTGACAACCTGAAATCTCCAGTAACTAACCAGCCTTTACAAAAGCCAGCATCATAGGACTAAACACACAGACCACCAGCAATGCTCTTCAGTGTAGGAAGAAGGCCATTTGTTCTTGCGTAAGCAGGCAGGAAGAACCTCTCCCAATACTGAAACTATATTACACTTAATAAGCTCTTTATTGCCCAGTCAATGTGCTAAGTGACTTACAACTAGAGTCTTAATCAATGGGTCACTGTGGTGGATAATGACATGATCTACACTTCACAAATTAGGCCATTTGGACACAGTGCAATTGACTTTCTTGTCTTTGAAACAATGATTAAACACAGTGCCTACTACCCTGTATATTTGATCTGCCGTATGGTAGTAAAAGTTAATGTGCATACTGTCAACTTTTGTGTAGTTGTACTGCAGTTTCACGGATGTTCTGCAGACCTCTGCTGCACAGCCTAAGCATATAAGCATATGCTTATTCCTCCTACATTCTATGAAGTCACTGTGCTGTTTATAGAGTGGCTTCAAGTTGTTTTACTATCGACGCCTCCTGGTCCGCCCTTCCCAAGCTGCAAAACTGCGAAAGTAGATTTGTGTCTGTTTCAGATTTTTCAAAAAATTTCCCTGTTGTAAAATGTTCTTTAACAACTCAAACACGGGGTATTTTCAAGAATCATTAACTACGATAATTATTATTATCATTCTTAATTTTTTTTTTTAAAAAAAAAGAGAACAGAAAGTGCTGATGAGGTCTCTGTCCCTTGGAAGGCAGGAAGGCACTTGGAAAAACAGAGTAATGGTTATGGTAGGGAACCGGGAAGGCTGCCTCTGCTTCCTTACAAGCCTCTGGGTTTGAAAGCTCCACACCTTCCTTAAAGGCAGGCTTCCTCCTGCTGCTTGTGTAGATCTGTGCCCCACACCGCCTCTTCAGCAGCTCAGCGCTCTGGCTATAGCTGACTACATGCTCCCTGCCCCCCCCCCCCACATACCATAATTAAAAATTCAGCATCCTGCTTTCTCTTTGTGACATTTTACACCACCACTCCCACTTCCTGTCTTATTTCTTCATTTTCAATCTGTCAGTGATAAAAATAGCATTTAACTTATTTCCTTATTTTATTAATATTTAATTTTATTTATGTTTGTATTTGATTTTGGTTAAATTACCTAAAAAACCCCTTAGGACAAAAATAACATTTCTTATTTGATGGCTATAAAGGACAGATCTGAGTGCCATTAATCAATTACTCCGGATTATAGCAAATAATAGAAGTCCTTTCAGCCTTTCCGTTCTAGGTGGTTTCCCCGCTGTGTTGTCTAGGCCTCCCTATGGAAAAGATTGCTGGGGTTTTGTTTGATATTTTCTTATTGAGATGTCGCATCTTCTTATCTCTGGTTCTTATCTTGACCCCCTTCCAAGAAATGAGTGGGCAGACAGTGAAAAGCAAATCGTGAGAAGTTACTTTCATTGGCAAAACAGGGCAGGACAAAACGGGAAGTAGAAACTCAGAAGACCACCAGTGGAAGCGGAGTGGCCACCAAGAGAAGTGGCGACAGTTGCAGCTCAGGGTCAGCTTGAAGGTGCCAGCTGAGAGACTGCCAGCAAGTGTCACAGCTCTCAAAGCGTCTAGAGAAGCTGACAAGCATCAAAAGTCACCCAAGACAGAACAGATGCGGCAGGTCTCAAAGCGAATGCCCCTGCCTGCAGCTAAAAACCCAAGGCAGGAAAAGCGAGTCTTGAGTCAGGAGCAGTGCTTCCTGGAATAGGAACAGAGGGGACTGGAGTGAGCTCCCTTACACGTGGTGTCTTTGCTGCCGGTCTCCAGGGGGTCTCAGTAATATCTACCTTTGAGAGTGTTTGGGAGCCAGTCTCCTTCCCCAGTCAAAGCCAGGAGTTGGCAGAGATGCCTCAGGACCAGATCAGCCCTAATTCTGTGGGTCTGAATGCATTCAAATGAGATGTGAAATATTATAAATCAGACATCAAACCAGGAAGGGAAAGAGAAAACGCGTCAAAACCTGAGCTGTTCTCAGTCAGGGCCTCTGCTCTGTCCCCTTTCTCCATCCCTAGACAACACAGCTGGAGAGGGAAAGCAGGAGGAGAAAGGGGACAGACTCTGCTGGATTTCCATCAAACAGCCTGTGGAGCCTGGAGGTTCGGGCTGTGTTGTTCTTCCTGGAGCGGGATGCCTTGCCTAAAGGCGGCTAGGATGAAAGCTCTTATCTTGCCCCTCCCAAAGTCCAATCGAAGAGTGGGAGGAGTGAGGAAAGTCGTCAAGACCATGATGGGGCCATCCACTGAAACAGTTTACCTGAGCTAATGGGAGCTCACCAACACCAGCCAAACTGGGAAGGAACAAACATAGGATGAAACTAGTCCGTCTGAATGTGGTTGACAGTTGCATGACTGGGGCAGACTGAGGGACCACTGGCAGTGGCTCCAGGATTTATCCCCACTGCTTGTACTGGCTTTTTAGGAACCTATTCTCTTTGGATGGATACCTTGCTTAGCCTAGATATAGTAGGGAGGGCCCTTGGACCTTCCACAAAACAGTATGCCTCACCCTCTCTGAGGAGTAGATGGGATGGAGTGGGAGGGTAAATGGAAGGAATGGGAGGAGGGGAAGGAGTGGGAACTTGGATTGGGTATGTATAATGAAAAAAAGTTTGTTTTCCTTTTATAAAAACAAAAAACAAAAAAGAAAGCTTGAATGCCACAGCAGCCTACGAGGGGATGCCTATGTCGGATCTGAAGATGGGGTTTCTCTCATCGTTGCTGTGAGGGTTGAAGGTCCAGTTACTTTTGCCTCCATGTTTCTGGAGCTTCTGCTCTTCAAATCTTAGATCATTGTTGGAAAGGCTTTGCTGTTGCCCAGGCTAGGATAGTCCTAGGGCCCCTCTAGCCCCTGTCATTCACGGCTGGTTGTCAGGGTCTTTGCGCCCCCTTTATCCATGTCTTATAAATTCGTTCTTGCTTTTCCTTTTCTAGCTTCCATTATTGGTCAGATCCTTATTACAGCCAACCTTAGTCAAGAATTTACACTTCTATTTAATACGTGTAGGTTACGCCATTCTTCCTTCAATCTGACAGGCATAGTTTCGTCAACCCTCCTACCCTGGTGTCACAAAAACTACAAAGTCCCTTCAGCCTACCAAGTCCAAACTGTTTGGACATGTAACACACCTGGGACTACCTGACTCATACACAAAATTTTCATAGCTCTCTCCCAATGCAGTTTACACTTCATTTTATATATTTCCCTTCATTTTACTCTCTGCCTATTCCAAACTCACCTCTCTCATTTCCTTGACTTGAACTAATTTGGGGATCTGAGACTGTCTTGGTTGCCAGCTTTTCCTGTACTTTAACTACACCTTCCCGTTCCCTTCCTGAATCATCTGGACAGTAAGTGACAATTGATTATCTTTCACAAGTGTGTATAGGATAACTATGCATTCTCTAACTTAACTCTTAATTATTTTAAATTATTGCATTCCTTTGTCCCCTTCAGCATGTAGAGGACAATTACCTAAGTGTTCAGATGGGATGTAATTTATTATGTAGCTCTTATTTGGTGTTCTAGAAGTATGCTGTTTCTCATTTATAGTCTTCCTTCCTATCAAAGTCTTCTGCATTTTGATAGTAGAAAAAAAGTGTTTAGTCTCTCAATGCTTCGTTTGACTTTTGATAAGTGAAGAGGAAATTCTGGGCAGAATGCTAAGTCTTTAATTCCCCCTCCTGTTAATTCCTTTCCCCTCAGTTCCTGTCATAAATAAAATTGCTAAGAGTGACTCATAGAATTCTTTGTACATACGGAAATACCTCTCCTCTGGTCAGATAATGCTACTTTATAGAAGAGTACCAGCTAAGTCAAATGCAAAGTTTGCTAGGAGTGTAGAATTCCAGAAACCTGTCCCTAGATTTCTGGAGCACAACTCTGGACAATTAAAATACACCAAAGTGGGTTAAAGGGGCAGAACTCTACTTGAGTTTCCTTCTGATCACCTGCATAGGATATTGTCACCATTGTGGGGTCATTGGCTTGTGGCTTTGTTCTCTGTTTAGTGGAATGACTCTGGGATGGGTTTGGTGTGACTTTGCTCATTTCCCTTTGTCACCTCCAGAAGCCCTGATGTGTTTGTTTTATCTGAAACCGTCTGCTACCTTGCTAAGCCTAGCTTCCTGTTCGCAGTCGACCTCTTGTCTCCTGGACTAAACTCAACTGGAGGAAAGTCAGCCGAGAGCCTAAAAGTCTGCTGAGGTTTTAATGACTTCCTCCAGCATCTCCACTTACTGTTCGATGCTGACATCAGCTGGACCACAGAAGAATGGATGACGAATGTAGGTATGATTAAAATGGTTAGTGTTCTGCGCATGTAAACAAAACTTCAGCTGTTCAGTCTTCAGAGTGACTTTCACGATCACTCCTGAGGGAATAACTCTTCCTTATTCTCATGAGAATTTTGAAGAGTTTTCTTTCCTACCCATGCCTAAACTTTGTTACAGGTGAGCCTTAAAAATATGTTTTAATTATTTGTCTGAATGTATGTATACATGTGGGTATGCACACTTAAGTGTGGGTGCTCACAGAAGGCGGAGGCGCAGGATTCCCTGAAGCGAGTTATGGCTATGGCTGCTGGGAGCTGGACTCGGGTTCTCTGTGAGGACTGTACAAGCTCTTAACCTCTGAACCATCTCTTCAGCCCCAAGAGATTGCTTTAGGATGAGTGGTATCTGTTGGAGCATCATGGTGCTTGAAGTACTTTTTGAGGTTTCTCCCACACACTTACATCTCTGAGACATCACAGGCAAACTCAGACACAATGGGCCAGGCTACAGGGATTGGAGGGCGAACCAATCCCCCAGGAAAACAGTGTGTGCAATGCAAAAGCAAGAAGCACCTTACATACACAGATGCTGCCACACCCCCATCAACCTGAGAATTGTGTCTGAAGTTTGGGTTCATGAAAATTTCATAACTACCACTACTGTTGCTGTGACTCTACAACACACTGACAGTTGAATGTCAAGTTGGTCTACTCATTGTGTGAGGCATTCTTTCCCTATGGGTCAAAACACCTTTGCATCATTCATATGCTTAGTCTAATTTCCTGGTTTCTTTCCAACAGAACTTCACATTAGAGCTCTGGAAATCCGGTTTTTCCCCCCGAAAACTAAAGTTCTCTCTCTCTCTCTCTCTCTCTCTCTCTCTCTCTCTCTCTCTCTCTCCCTCCCTCCCTCCCTCCCTCCCTCTCTCTCTCTGTCTGTCTCTCTTTCTCTCTCTCTCATTGCAGAGTCCTTATACTGCTTTTATGGCAAAGCAAAGAACGTACACTTACCTTCCATATCACTAATGGCTACTTAGCTGTAAGAAATAATGCTGCCTAAATTTATGGCATAAACAACTCTAGCTCTGAAGGTTATTATAGGTGTGTCTGTCCACCCAAGGGGTAAGCCTATGATAACAGCGACTCTTTTTCTATTTTACAGCATTTAAGGCAGAAAATAAATGATGGGGAAATGTTCAGTATAACCTTAGGTAAATACAATGATATAATATGTGGATATTTTAATATGGAGTATGTATGCATTAAGAGTTGATGGTCAAAATATGAAAGCATATGCACTTTCTAAAGTGTTGTTTTGCCCTTAGTGACTATTTAATACTAAGCCTAAGTATGCTGAAATAACTTCTTGAGGTCAGGTGCCTTAGAAATAGTGGTGATCCAAGAATTTCTCAAAGAGAAAAGAAAAAGAGCGACTAGAAAGACGTTTACATGCAACGTATAAGCAGCTACAGTGGCAATTCAGTGCCACGGTTAGTGAAACCATGAAGATTTTAGTGTAGAGGTAAAACAGAAACTTCCGAGCTCAAGGCCCACTTTTTGAAAAGGTGATAAAAAGGTCTTACTTCGAAAGATTAAGGGGGATGAAATGAGGTTGTATATGCAAAGTATATCAAGCAATCCTTGACCTTGAGGGGGTCCTCAAGTAGCAGTTATTACCTGTAAAGTACGTACATTGCAAATTAATTTCCTGTAGTCTGTTTACACTCTCATTCAAACCTTCTAGCATAGAGGGCATTGTTCTTAGCTTCATTTCACACATCCTGTTATAAGGCTCAGTAGGTGAAGGCTTTCTCTGCAAGCCCAGCAACCTGTGTTTAACCCCTGGTCCACAGAAAGGAGGAAGAGAGAATGAGCTCCACACAGTTATCCTCCGAGCTCCACAGACATGCCGTGGCACACTTCCCCCAGTGATAAATAAAATACAGACAAGTAAAATTGCAAAAATATATAGTAATGTCAAAAGAAAAGGTAATAAAAACTAAATATGTGAGTTGTATCCAAACGCCTTGGGAATAGGGTCTGTGCTTTTGTTCCCTTTCTTATGTGTCCTTGTAGCTCCTTGAGATCCAACTGTGCCCACAGCCATTTGATTCTGCACATCATCTGAGTGTTCTTGTGAGAACAATCAACAATCCTGACAGACTTTACAACTTTCATCACGAAAGAATGTTCTGGGGAGTCATGGCCCTCTCTCATCTCTCCATCTTCTTACCTTTCCTGCGTTTAAAGCGAGAATTCTTTTCAACTTTTTTTTTTCCTTCTGTAAATAAGGTTCATAAAGCAACAAGTAAAACAGAAACAGAGTCACTGCAGAAGTCCTTTTAGGCTACCAAATTTCCTCACTAAAGAGATATTTTCATTTTCACACCATCACAGATGTTGTTCTAGTCCTCAGTGTCCTGACTCTCTACTGATAAGCTCGTCAGTCTTTGATCTGACATCACTTAATTTGCATGAATGAATAAAACAGATTTCAGGACCCTTTCTTGTCATCTGACACAATAAAAAAAAGGTTCAAAAGTTTGCAGTTACATATGCAGTTACATATGCAACACCTTGATATTAACGTGGTAACAAAATTCTCAAATTGATATAAGTGTACAGTGTGTGTTCTTTATTATATATATTATGAAGTCTTAGGAGAAACAGTATTTTTCTTTAAATTAGTGACAAAATGCCGATCAGCCTTACATGGTTTGTGAGCTTAAGGCTTAGTTCAGAAATGTGTCCCAGTGTCATGCATTACATTATAGATCTGGAAGGCATTCTTTATGGGTCTTCTGAACCATAAGAAATAAATGTGCTAATGAAACTTTGTGGATTCTGGAATGTTCTGCTTCAAGTTGTGTATTGATCATCTAATGCTAAGGAGATCCATGTTTTATGAGATCTTCCAACTGACTTAGAGGTTGACATTGCTGTCTTGCATGGGATATTTTACTGCTTCAGTACCCTGTGAACTTTTTCACTCCTCAGTCTCCTTTGAAGTTTTTTTTTTTAATTTCAAAGTTCTGTTCTGAAATATTTCAGGAACCATACTCCATTTAGACATATAAAAATGGCATCACACTAGAGCCTCAGTCAGAAGGTCGTATCCCAGGACATCTGCAGAGTGTGGCCTTTAGATAAGACTGATTGGAAAACAGCTGAAAATCCCGAATATTGCTTGTATTAAAAAATAATATGCATTTCAGTTGTTTTTTTTTAATAAATTGAGTTTTCTGGTATAGGGAAATGATTTCCCAGCCAGTAAGGTACTTACTTTGAAAACACAAAGACCCAAATTCCATTCCCAGCAACCTTGTGGAACGCAGGGTGTGAGAACAGTGCGCTGTCGTCCCTGCTCCAGACAGATAAGTGAAGAGGACCCTCAAGGCTCTCCTCCTCTGCCCTAACTAGAGATAGGGCCCAGCGAGAGGCCCTCCAGGACAGCTCCTGAAGAAGGATACCAATGGACGATATCTAGTTTCCACATGCATGCACACGTTTGTGTAGCTTTGTGTGTGTGTGTGTGTGTGTGTGTGTGTGTGCATGTGCGCATGTGCACACAACAAAATTTTGGTTGTTTCCACATCTTCGTTATTGTGAATAATTATACATCATAGAAAATAGCACTAAAACCACTGTATTGTACACTTGAGGTTTATAAAGAGAGAAAATATTCACTGATCTTACAATACACGATAACTTATGCATATACAGGCATAGGTAGTCATATGAAACTATGGACACATTAGACAGCTTAACCCTAGTAATCAGCTCACTGTGCATACATGTCAAAATTTTATGCTGTTTACTTTAGAAACATATGATTTCTATTAAAGTATATTCCTGCAGAACAATGATATATCTTGCTGCTATTTTTAGTATTTGTGAAACCTTCTACTTTTTAGCCGGGCTATGGTGGCATATGCCTTTAATCCCAACACTCGAGAGGCAGAGGCAGATGGAACTCTGGGAGTTTGAGGCCAGCCTGGTCTACAAGAGCTAGTTCCAGGACAGGCTCCAAAGCTGCAGAGAAACCCTGTCTTGATAAACCAAACCAAACCAAAACAAGACAAAACCCTTCTATTTTTAATGACTGTATAGTATTCCACTGCATAGAAGTAGTAGACTTTTCCCACCCTGTTGATAGTTTAGAAAATTCTAGTATTTTGAGCTTACAGTGCGTCTGAGAATAAACACAGTTTATAACACACAAATGAGCATAAGTTCAGTTTATCACACACAAATTAGCATAAATCCTCAGAAGTAGAATTTCTGAGCAAAAATTACCTAAAAAACAAACAAACAAACAAAAATTCCCAGTTGTATTTTTCAGCCTGACGTCTTGTTATCATACAGACTCAACACCAGTGAGCAGTATTTTCTTATCTTTCACACAGACTATTTTCTGAGGCTTAGTGGTTTTCTTAATTTACTAGGTGAGAAGCTGATTTTCCTTGTTTTAAGTTGCTCTTCCTGTCATACATTTAAGGGTCTTTTGCATTTATTTTAGATTACCATTTATTAGTATATCCTGGTAACTGTCTATGATGTCACTGTATTTTATTTTAGATCACCATTTTTTAGTATATCCTGGTAACTGTCTATCAGACACTGTATTTTATTTAGATCATCATTTATTAGTTTATCCTGGTAACTGTGTCAGGTCACCATATCTTCTGACTGTCTTTTAGAATGTTCATGCTATGGATATTGATCTTTGATATATGTTGCAAAGTATTATTTTGTCATTTGTTTTGTTTTATTTATAGAATTAAATATTTTTCTTCCTTGTGCACATACTTACCAGTGTTCTCTCTTCCTCTTTTCTTGCATTATTTGCCATTATGTCTTCTTCATAATAAGATAAAGGAAAATGTTTTCCTTACCTAAGATTAGGAAATCTTGCTCAAAAAGAACCAAAATAGAGACCCCCAAAGAAGTGAAGAATGAATTGAATGTCACAATTTAGAGCAGGCACTATGACAAGTTATTCATATATAATCA